ACCGAGGGCGAACCGGGTAGAAGGGAGCTCCGAGATCTTAGACCTTCGACCAAGATTAAGTTAAAATTGAGACACTGCCTTTCAACAGGTGTCCCTGCCACATGCTCGTGTGAAGAGAAAGCGTATTAATGAAAAACTAATTGCACACGAAGGAAGTATGAGTTGCTGAAACAACTCATAATTTAAACTGTTTAAGTATATATTTTAAGGTAAAGCTTTTTGCACAAAATAACTTATTTTAAAACCTTAAACGTTTTACACAATTTTTTGATGATTTGTTAACAAAGAGAAAACCAAACATTTCCAAAGTAATGCCTGTCAGAATTCTAAATAATACTACTATAGTTTTTGAGTGATGATACACGTAAAGAATGACTTTGGCAATCAACGTAAATACCACTCAACTTCATCTTTTTTCTGAAATTCACACATGATGATAAAGATTCTTGCAAAATAATCAGATTCACCAAAACTCTTACAATAATAGCATTAACGTTATGTTTACATTAAAAAGTTCTTTAAATGAAACACCTATCCAAAAAAACTACGACAGTAGTTCTCTCCGACGCGAAGAAAACCACTTTTACTTCGCAATGGCCTCCTTATTAAATTCGCGCTTGAAACTCGTACAAAACCACGCTTTCTCTCTCCATCGAGGAGGTGATCACCTCCTCTACCGTCGTCGTCGCCGCGTCAGCCACCGAAATCTGGATCACCGCCATCTCAGGGCTTCCATCCTTGCTCTCCGAGCCTCGCCTCCACGGGTGCCGCAACATGTACCCATCGCTTTTGTCCCCTCCTCCAACTACACTGTCATCGTTTCTTTTTGTCGTGTTAGCCATCGCTAGCTTTCGTCAGCTAGCTTTTGCCTATTTCATAGTCACCACCGGACTTCGCCCCCAACGCTCTCCTGCCACGGCCCTCCTTCGCCACGCTACCGCCAACGCCCCCTCCAGCCAACGGCCACCGCCCCCTCCCGCCAAGCCGCCACCGACCTCCGCCACATCGCCCCCTCCGCCACCGCCCTTTCCGCCAACCCAACGCGCCCGGCTTGTTCGCCGCCAACGCCACCGCCCTCCTTCAGCATCCCCGCTTTCCCCCAACGCCACCGCCTCCTCCGCCAAACGCCACCCGCCCCCTCCTGCCAACGCCACCCGCCTCTTCCGCCAAGCGCCACCGCCCCCTCCGTCAACGCCACCCCTCCTCCGCCAACGCCACCCGCCTCCCCACCGCCAACGCCACCGCCTCCTCCGCCACCCCTCTTTCCGCCACCGCCCTTTCCGCCAACGCCACCGGCCCCCTCCGCCAACGCCACCCGCCCCCTCCGCCCAACGCCCAACGCCCCCCTCCCGACCAACTTCCACCGCCCCCCTCCGCCCAACGCCAAACGCCCCTCCGCCAACGCCACCGCCCCCCTCCGGCCAACCGCCACCGCCCCCTTCCGCCAACGCCACCGCCCCCCTCCGCCCAAACGCCAACGCCCCCCTCCGGCCAAACCCACCGCCCCCTCCCCAACGCCACCGCCTCCTCCGCCAACCGCCACGCCCCCTCCGCCAACGCCTCGCGCACGAGCCCTCTCCGCCACCGCCACTTGCCACCGCCCCTTCCGCCACGCCACGCGCCCCCTCCGCCAAACGCCACCGCCCCCTCCGCCAACGCCACCGCCCCCTTCCCGCCAACGGCCACCGCCCCCTGCCGCCAACGCCACCGCCCCCTCCGCCAACGCCACCGCCCCCTCCGCCAACGGCCACCGCCCCCCTCCGCCAAACGCCACCCGCCCCCTCCGCCAACACCACCGCCCCGTCGCCAACACCGCCCCCCACCATCACCTCTTACATTATCGTGCCTCGTCCCTTCCGCCATTCTCTCTATTACCATCGTCATGCGCCATAGTCATTTGCCATCGCCATCACAAGCCACCAGCCACCCGCCACTGCCCACTTGCCGCCACCGCTCCCACCACTACCACGCCGCCTTCGCAGCTTTTGCCGCCCATTACGCGCTTTTTAATTTGCAGCTAAATCTGGGCGGCGTCACGGAGCGCGCGGGAGGCCGCTGCGCTGCGGCCGTCGCGGGCGGCGTGGGCGGCGGTGGCGGTAGCGGGACTGATGGGGGCGGGGCGAGGGCGTCGCGGGGGCGGAACCGCGGCGGCGGCGGGCGGCCGCTGCGCTCAGAAGCTGCTCCGAAGCCGCACAGCAACTTCCATTCACTGCCATTCTCTGCACGCCGTTGTTCTTTCTTGATGATACATGTTTTCATAATATGTTGCTTTATATATTGCATACGTCTCATAATAGATGTTGGAAGCTGATCGTCATTAGTGAAAGGAATATATACCTCCAGAAACCCGGCAGGTCAATTGTGTGTCTACTGGCTGCATGAGGAGGCATTTCAAAACTGAAAAGTACATATGATGTACGGGGACATTTTTTTAAGGGAAGGATTTGAACGACATTTTCTATTCCAATTAAGGTTTGAATTTCTCTTGTCAGGCTTCATTAGACACGTTTGCATTACCAGGTGGAGTAACTAGCGTAACTGAACTAACTAGTCAAGGAGTAACTCTCCCGAATCTACTCGTAATAAAAAAAAACGTTTTCGTTCCTATCGACACTACACAGACCCCTCATCGTCTATCGTTTCCAAGAGCCCTTCTTTACGTACACCGCAATCTATATAATAGTAGGCCCTGGATTCTTGGTAAAAATTGAGACTTCCGTGGCCAGAGTCGTATCCACTTGGATCTCCAGGAGAGAACGCAGGGTCCTAGGCACAGAGGCCAACGTTTCGGCCGGCCTGCTGCGACCTTCATCTGGGTGAACCTTACATTTATCGCATTTCGTCGGTATACAGCGGCGGACACGCTGGCATCTCTACCTAGGTCGAGGCATCATCCAGTCAGCTAAGTAAGTACTGAATTCATGGATCTCACGCAATCCCATCCATAAATGCGTCTCCATTCTTTCCCAACGCTTTTAAACGCCCGGTAAACAGAATCGAAAATGGGCGCTCGTGAAAGCAAGACACTCGTGTTCGTGCGGGACTTGCCACCACAGTTTGCATTAAGACTTGGAAACTGATGGGCATTAGAGTCGAGCTAAAATTACTTGACGAGTAGGCATTAGTTTTCCACATATCTAGAAATATGTGTAATTCAATCATTTTTTTCTTATATATGAATAACATGATTCTGAAGAAACAATTCATTACATATAAGTACGAGTCAATGAGAGAAATTCATAAGCAACAATTTTTATATTTTCGAGTTGATCGTATTAGAATGTTATCTGATATATTGCATATTCATTGTAATCGGCTTCTATTATCTCGCCAAATTTTAGAACTGATTGTCTTCTCCTATCGACGTACGTGTTCATTAAACGTAATCAAGCTGCATCTTTAATTAGCATTACAATGACTTTGAATTACCTCTAACTTACCTCTTTTTATATTCATATTATGATGATTTAATTGTGCGTCCGTATTTTAATAAATTCGTAAGTACACTGAAGTCTCCAATCGTTGATTAAATAAATTTTAAAATTCGTGTACTGTAGAGTAATTACCTATTGTACGGAAAACATAAAAATTGGAATAACATGCAGAAGTCTAATGAGTACGACACGCATGATAAATAGACCCGTAGGATATTAATTTAGTTTTCTCTCTCAACACAGGCGAGAGAGCGCGCAGCAGGAGGAGAGGGCACTCCCTAATGACGAAAAGAGATGCTGAGAGAATTCTGCGTCAATGCCAAATCAGACTTGCAAACAAAAGTACCGACGGCAAACAAGGGCGAAAATGAGCGATTAATTTATATATATATATATTATTCTTAAGAATAGTTCCAACAACCAATACGGTGTAAAAATAAAGTTGACACAATTGCCATCTTCCCGGATTTGACCCCAGGAGGACACGGTGCCCTTCCTGACACACACGAAAGGGGAGGGATTCTCAATGTCTTTGGCCATTCACAGCAAGGTCTTACATCTAACCCCAATCAAGCAGGACTACAAGAATAAATGTATAATTCATACTATGTTATTTTATATAAATTAACATAATAAAGTGTCATTAACACAGAACACATTAACATAGAACTAAGATAATCAAAGCCATAGATCGCAGGAAATGTAATGCTCGTCCCATACACACCAGAAAAAACAGGTTTTTAACGATGCAAACTATTACTTTAATTCAAGTGATTGTTTAGACTATCTAGTACTCACACGCATACACACCAGTACTATAGGCTCTTATTGAAACATCCTGCGCCATCTTAAATCATTAACCCAACTATTCAAAATGAAAATACGCTTGACCATTTCTGACGGCCTTTAAAGAACCATTTAAGAACGTTATATTCACTTCAGCTTCAAAAGAACACTTCCTGAATTAAGAGCCGCGTTTCTACCATCCTATCCTCATTACATCATGAAGCAGGCAGACTGCGCGATAAATTACACACATTTTTAATTACTTATGCGCGTGTGTTTGGCCGCTGCCGCCTGGGGCGTCTGCATGGCGAGGCATATCGGGGATGATTCCGGCACCCTCTCCCAGCAGGCGCACAGCCCTGAGGCCTACGGCGTGCGGGCTATCACCGCCACGGGCCCTCCCCTTCCCCGACATGCGCCTTCACCTCACCACCGCTTCCACCTTCGCGCGCCCTCGCCGCCGCCCTCGCCGCCCGGCCGCGGCTCGCCGCCGCCCTGCGGCCCGCCCTCCGCGCCGCCCTCGCCGCCGCCACTCGCCGCCGCCCTCGCTCCGCGCCCTCGTCCGGACTCGCCGCCTCGCCGCCCCTCGGCGCCCGCCGCCCGCCACGCCCGCCACACGCGCCGCCCGCCCTGCCTCACGCCGCCGCCCACGCCGCCGCCTCGCCCGCCGCCCACGCCGCCGCCCACTCCGCCGCCCCGCTCGCCGCCTTCGCCGCCGCCCTCGCCGCCAGCCGTATTCCCCCCTCACACCATGCTCTCGTCGCCGTCCTCACAACGGTTTTACCGTTTCCTAGCCACCTCCAATCCTGTGCCACAGCCACGAGGGGGTACAGGTGTGGCCGCCACAACCCCGGCCCGCGGGGCGTCTGCCAGAGGCTGCAGGCGGCCGAAGGCGGTGTGCAGCCGCCGGGTGGATGCGGCGCGTGTGTGGTCGCCCGCGGCCTGGCCCAGCGCCTGGCCTACACCCGCCCCGCGCCGCTCCAGTCGCCTCGGGCTAACGCAGGGGCTGCCCTCGCCACGCCGCCTCGCGTGGCCACCGCCTGGTCAGGGCGCTTTGTTCTGTACATTTTACTATACTTCAAATTATTCATAGTGTCCTTTGATAGGTCATCAGCAGTTACGGTCTCATCCAACTGTAACGTCACCATTGTGACGTTACTGTAATGACGTAGTGACGTTTAAGCTCCCGTTTGAATGACAGAATAACAGCTGATTTACGTTAGCAGAGCCTATATTTAAACCGAAGTATAGTTGGACCCGCGCGAACATTCGGAGCATTGAATATCAAATTGAAATAAAACTAGTCGGCTTCTGGGCTTTTGAGGCGTGTCTATGCTTTCCCTTAGTTACGCAAGTACACGGAAAATTAGCATAACCTCCTAATAAATATTATTAATTCCAAATATACGCATAAATGTACGAAAAACAATGCAGTCTCCAGACTTGTGAGAGGTGTTCTATGGTTTCTTTAGATACCTAAGAAATTGGCAAAAATACAAAAACTATTAAACAGTTTCGATTGAATGAAAAATGCAAATATCTGACTATTATCCCCCCATTATCAAACTGTGCTAAACCACTAAATTATTTGCTCATTGCGTCACTATTTACGACAGATATTACATAATCGACACCACATCTCTAAGGGAAAGGCTGCGTGATATTACAAACTTACAATTTACATTGTTGCTTTATGGAACATCTAATTGGAACTATTTTTTGCATGTAAAGAACAGATGTAGTACATTATACTACGACAGTGCAGTGTTCGTGAAGACCAGTGGCGCACCCAAACGGTACATGAAACTTCGGTATCCGACGCACCCAAGAAGCAACTGATACATACATTTTACTAATTTTCTATACTAACGAAAGTCATTTAATATACCAATTGATAACATTATAAATATTAACTATAAGTCAACAAATAAAAATCATTTTATATTCAGCAAAAATGAAACTTTCTTTGCAATAAAACATCAAATCGGTTTGACACTATACAATTATCTGTAGCCGCCACCAGAGAAAAATATTATACGAGTCTCTAGTGAAAATTACTTGTTAAAATAATGTTTTGCAGTAATAATTACTTGTTGTTCTTGAGCCGTGGCGCGTACTTTTTTGTGGAAAACAGTTTTGTGTGGGTTTTTTTTTCAGCATCATTTTTGATGTAGGTCACTTCTCATTGTAATTTTCTCGCTACTTCTTACATAGTAGAGAGAAACTTTTGTAAAGTTGTGCCAAAAAAAGGGGCGAAATTTCGGCAGAAAAACTCTTATTACGAAGCCCTTGCAACGAAAAGTGGGTAAATCTAATTATTAAATTTAGAACAAAAATCCTCGAACACGTACTGTAGCCAGAATCCACGTTTTGTGAATTCTCAATGCAGAAAAATCTAATGACGGCATTACGTCTGTCCGTCCGGCCGTCTATGAACAACTCTAGGGTTTAAACCGTTCAGCCCATTTTCTCCAACATTTATATTCCTCAATCGATCTGGCTGATGCCGCGTCCTCTTGAATTTGAAACTGATATTTTAATTTTAAAAGAAGCCCCTTTTCAAAATTTTGAAAAAAAATACTCTGTTTCTGATTAAATTTTGTTGTTGGATAGTGCGAAGGACGTTTAAGAGTGATGCAGATCTCATAATTGTAAGAAACCCTAATTTTTCCAAAATTGCAAAAATTTTAAAAAATTTCGTCGTTTTCCTACAAATACAATTACGACAATAGAGATTTTCCCTTAATGAAATTTGTTCCTTAAAGATAGATTTCGAAATAAGGAAGTGTAAATTTTTTCGAAAAGGAGAGTTCTTTTCGCGTAATTTTGCGTGAAAATCCGGGCGAGAAAATACAAGCTATTTCAGTACCACTGGTTTTAATAGTGAAAATAGCTGCATGGTCCCATCGGATGGTATAATAAGGTGGTAATGGTGTAATAATCACCACTTCGAATGGTCATGCCCTGAACGGTATATCATTGCAGACCTGATGCTGTCTGTGGGTAAACCTAACGCTTTATCCGTTGATTGACAACAAACGAATAGACAATATAACTTTACAATCTTCTAGTTCAGCTCATTCTGTTCTGACCACCGAAGATCCAATACGACATTTCAGTTCATACTCTTTTGTGGATAAGCTGTGTGATAGATCCATTATCGACTTTTAACAAGCAATGTATCTGCTTTTACGCTTTTTATCACTTCAGCACTAAAAAGTGCATGCACAAATTTCAAGAATGAAAATAAAACTTCATTTTCTCTTTCTTATCCCCTTAGGTACAAAAAAACATACATTTAAGGGACTAGAAGCCTTCTAAGAGCCTTGTTTTACAGATTTGCGCGATAGTGACGTACGTTGCAGCGTCACGTGGGTTACAGAATGCATGTGCGCCTGCTTTCTCAAACAACAACAGAGCATGAGCCTGTTGAAGAGCCACCTGAATAGGGAGAACAGATGAGAAGAAAATTCCAGCATTTATCCGGTTTTAAACTCTGAAATACATCGATGAACTGATGAATGTTCTATTCTCAGGATGGAAAGAGTTGTTATGAATTCTAAAAGGACCTTGTAAGCTCGCCCATGGTGATGTCAAACTATAACTTTTTTATTTATTTTGTCAAAGAACAGAAAATAACTGTATGAGATGTATACGGGAGAAGTATAATTTGCACAAGTTTTCCTTAGCTCCAGCATCTCTTCACCACTTTTTTAATCAAAAATACGTGTACGACGAGTAAAATTTGAAAAGGGAGACTGGCAACATTCGAAAAATACACATTTTTGCTCCTAGTTATAGAAACTTATTTGCATTGATAACATAACTACAGATTTGGTTTTTTAGTATTGTTCTCAAAATAGTAAACCTTCCTTCTGGATCTACTTCTACCACTACTAGCAAAATGAAACCAACAATGAAGTGAGAACAAAAATCTTATCAAGGCAAAGAGGAGACGTCAAGGTAAAATTTAATGAAATATAGATACAGAAAACGTGAATCTTGCCGATATATCGCTAGAATTCTGTGATATTCCTGGTTAAATGACTCTTTGCGAGGTACCCAAGGTATTTCGAGCTCATTTCCAAAGTCTTTTTTTTTTTTGCTTTCTATGGCGTAAAAACAGTTTTGCTCGTGTTAAAGTGCAAATAGGGCAATATTTTAAAATTATTTTTATTCCCGATTTAAAGTCGTGTTATTTTCATCTCAATGCCGCACATTCAAATTATTACAATTTTTTAAAAGAATTCCTTGTTCGATATCGCGAATTTTGTCTACCTCATCCATAACATTGACAATGAAAATGCACAACTTTGTAATTTAGTGGATTGTTTTGACATGTAAAATGGATAAAATATCTTCGCAGTCTGAGAATCGAACCCGGTACTCCCACAGTTCTGGAGCATCACTTTGACACTGATCCATGTATTCGCTGTTCAAGCACTACTCTTATTACAACACATTTTAATTAACGAAACTTCAAAACAACATTACGTATACAATAATTAACCACAGTTCAGTTTCATAGGCAGGAATCAAGAAAGTCTTTCAAGTTTTTACCTCTCAATATACGTTAAAATATTTTATATGATCTCCGATAAAATAAATGTAATCTTAATAGTTCTGTCTAGAGAACGTAGTTTTGAAAACATCATTAGCACTCTCGTCGGACAAGGTTGTCCATCGCCTTTAACCTCTCGGGCCAAGACATTTTCGCCGCGAAATATTACGTTCCCATGATTGTATATTTTGAATCAAGAAATCAAATGAAAATAGATCCTCCAAACATAAACAATGTATTGAATAACATTACGAATTGGCTGAATTTGTGTACTTTCAATAACCCGCAAAATTCTTAAATTAAGCTGCAGCTAGTTTCAGACGAAGATTGTATTCCCCTCGGGCGCCGCGCTCTGTGGCCTGACCCCCCTTCCATTCTGGCCTGTAAGCCTGTGGCTGGTTGCGGTGCGAGTACAACCAGGACCCATTGTTGAAGCATAAGTCCAAAGAGTAAATACAGTAAAAGAGCATTCAGCGTGAGATGGAGCACTGGGTGGAGAGAACCAGACGCCGAAGGAGTGTTCGTTGGGCGCTCTTTCATTTCAAAATGATTTGACACATATTGATATTGATGAAATATTTTGAGCTTTGTAAGTCATTAAAAGTAAAACGTACATTCCTAACAGATAAGAAGTTTTCGATTATTTGTAGGTAGTGCAACCAAAACACGAGCCGCCACTTCAGAAGAAGCTCCTTTCAAAACCTGGGTGTCTTTTGGTCATGTCTAGAAAGTAATGGTCTGTGCGCTGTGCTGACGATTTGGGAATTAGTGTTTGAATTAGACCTAAATTGTCTAGTTGTGCAAATACATAAGTAATTCGAAATAACTTCAACTGTGACCATTAACGATACCGTGACTCGACAGTCACATCACAGGGAAACGACTCCATTGGTTATTGTAGCACTTGAATCAATGGCAAGTAAAAGCAGTACAGATATTCAAAGACGACCATATAAAAATCGGACTATCGAGTTTCTTTTCATCATAATCCACACATCGAGGGAAATTAACACATAAGTATACAGAAGTTGAACGAGATGAATAAAGTCCAAGATGAAGTAATCACGTGTTGGTACTCACCATCGAGACTTGCACCACGGAGATTGGAGATACAGAGGTGAGCACCATCGAATCGACGCGCTTGGCACCAAGGTACGACTGTAAAAGTAAGTTTCATCAATATTCCTAGAAATGTAGGCTAGGCCTAAACGAGGTGCGCACAATGGGAGCTACAATGGCCATGGTACTTCACAAACCTTTGAAGGGGCCCCATAGCCAAACGTAATTATACATTTTACATCATATCCTAAAATATGACTTTTCTCAGATTTCCCTACAGTCAGTTAAATTGTTAAAAGATATTAGGAAAAGAGGCTCTCCAAGGCATTTAACAACTGTATAAATAGTTTAACATAAAATCAACTGTAGTATTTATTTAATCATCAAAGGTATAATTTCTCCTGCAGATTGTTTTAGGATTTTTTCCAGCTCAGAGCCGGTTCACCTTTACGTCCCCGTGTGATGCATATTCCACCATACACCAAACATCAACACATTTGCAGGCTCCTCTGATCTGGGGTCAGCAGAACGCGAGGCACTCCGCGACAACATATATTCGAGAGAAAAGGGACAAACAACCAAAGCCAAGACGGGACTCAAACCCGTGACTCTTCGAAGCGAAACGCTGATACACCTCGGCCATCCAGGTCGGAAGATGTCTTATAATTTTCTTATACAATATGTCTTCTATAAATATAAAATATCAATGGTAAAATGGAGTCAGAAATATACAACCCCCCCCCCCCATGATTTTAAGCAGTACACGCATGTGCAAGGCAGGAACTTAGACCAGAGGTTCCGAACGGGATCGGTAGAGACCCCTGGGGTCGATGAACTTTTGAAGGGGTCAGTGATGCTTAAGGAATCGATTGGGGGATCAATAGCTGAGTATGAACCGAGGTCCTCTCAGGAAAATCAAGATCTCATTCATTAAAAAACATTAATGAACTTAATTAACTGTTTTCTGATATAAAGTGAAACGTACAATAATAAATTACAAATTCACTCTCCTCTTCGGTATCATTCTTTCTTCCTTAGGAATTACGATATTTAGAAAACTAAAGAAAGTGTAACTACGCATCGACAACGATACTCTATCGCTCAAGAAAGTACTCTCCGCAATTTGCAGTGAAGAAATGCCATGGCAACTTCTAAAAAGACCCTCAACATTCTGTAACCACTGCATTTCAGTGAAGATTAGAAACTCAAAGAAGGTTATAAACTCAGCTGCTCAAAAGCGGAAGCATTTTTTGATAATTTGAAAAATCGGGATATTTACGAGAATAATGTGGTACGAAATTCTTATATTTTAAGCATTCGTGTGGAATTCTTTCTGTCATGTTTATGGATGCTGTATATTGTACAGAAAACTTAAAGGTGTCGATGAAGCATTTTATTAAATAGGGTTGATGAAAGATAAAGGTTGGGAATCCCTGTTTCATACAATTAGTAGTGATGGTACAATTTAGTCCAGTAAATGTTTAAAAATCTCATTTTGAAAACAAGGTTGTAGCATATTATACTCGATTTATTTACAGTCCGTAGACGTTTAATCAACTGCCTATGTTTAAATCGAACTACAAGCATTATAAAAATTAATATTTAGCATTTTGTAGCATTTGTTGAGAAAATTATTATCAACGGTGGACTCCGAGATAAAAATAATAATTTTGATGCTTTACAGGTTTTCCCATTACAATCAGAAAAAAGTGAAACTATTTTCATGTTTTGCCATTTGTGAAATTGAACAAATATTACAATGTAAGAAGTAAAGCGTATGCCGTAGGCGTAGGGCCTTTCTGTTCTTCCCGTTACCTCCGTACAGCGAACTGAGGAATTTAAGACCCCTTGAGATGGCCCTCAACGTACAAGCTTTTAGGATCTGTTTATTATATTATTATTTTTGGTTTTTTCAGTAAAATCTTAATTATAAATTAATGAACACGGTCTCTCTCAAATTAAATATTTTCAAACATCGAAGTATTGTTGTCGATGTCGCATCCGTAGTTAGCGAACACGATGGAAACCATAGAACGCAATTTAACAATTATATTGCAGATTCACGACCATTTCGCACGTAGGTGATTTCGATCGATTTCGCATTTTATCACAGAATGAAATCCTTCAAAAATATACTGCATCGACCGTCAAAAATGGAATTACTAATTTTTTGAGTGTGTGGTAACATTTTACATTGTTAGCAGTTGCTAAAAATCTACCATCTCTAATAATTTGTTGAGAAGTTAATGTAGGTTGTTTTTTAGTTATTTAATGTCGGATTAACATTAGGTCATTAGCGACAACTATTGCATTTAACAGTATAGTAACTGTGAAGACGACATGATATGGTGATGATAGGTGTTGAAAGGACGAACACACATACAACCATGTCCCAGGCGGTACTCTAATCCGCGATCCTTCGGTCCGAGATCGCAACGGCACTACTGCCTTAACGATCTCGGCCATCCGGACCGGCAGGGTGTAGTTTTGCACGCTCGAATTCGCAACGACCAGCTGTGTGGCTTTGCCGACCCCTGTGACGTCGACGGCGGCCGCGCAGCGCCGCGCCGCGCTAGAGCCGGGGCTGGGTCGGACCGCGCTGCGAAGCGTCGCCGTTAATGACGGCATTGAGCGCGCTCGGCGGGCGCCGCGGCGGCGGCGGCGGCGGCGCGGGCGTCGTCTGATTGGCCCCATTCACCCGGCGGCGGAAGCGGGCGGCGGCCGCCGGGCCTTCCGGCGCGTTTGTTTCTGCGCGACGGGTGATGAGAGGATGAGTAATGTTGTGTTTTTCCAGCGCCTTCGCCTTCGTAATGGATTAATGAAAACGGCCGCGGCGGAGCGGCCGGCGAAAAGGGCTATCGCTTTCCAGCTCTTTTGTCATGCGGACGCGCCTCCATGAGATTCCGGCGCTCCGCGGCGCGGGTTGTCTCGCATTACCACTGTTTAACTCTGGCTGTGCCTGACGACCGGGGTAGAGTTACCAGATCCCCGTCGATCTAAAGGAAGACATGGGCGTAAAAAAGGAGGACATTTGGTGCAAAAAGAGGTGCGCCCATAATATTTTAAATAAGAATGTACATGTGACACAATGTGTACTTGTTACATTGTACTTTATGGATGCATTGTGACAGATGTGAAGCACTCGCATATGCAAAACTAACAAACGTTATTTGAAACAGAGATTTACTTGGCTCCAGGTACATATACTTTACATTCAGCTTCAGAATCCTTCCTTCCCATTTTCAATGGAAAATATTTATTGTCTACAGCAAAGTTCAACTAGCATTTTCGCTTCGGCATTTGAAAATATCACAATATATTTTTAGAAAATATATGTCTAGCAAAACAAAAATTGCGAGCGTTTCCTTTCTCAACGGAATCACCGATAGTTCACAAAACTACTAATACCGAGAAAGAGTGAACCTCTTGAATTGCACAGAGAAGAAAGACCATTCTGGTGATAATGCTGCGACCTACAGGCAAATTAGTGTAAACAGAAGTCAAAGCAAAAACCTTCCAAATATCTTGCACTCAGACGAACAAGTTACAAAAGCAAACCCGAGATCGATAAGGTAATAATGCCATAGCAATCTCGAAAAATCGAAAGATCGCGGACATGGTTGTATTTGTGTTCGTCCTTTCACTCCCATCATCATCGTATCACGTCATCTTCACAGTTACCATAACGTTAAATCCGATATCTAATGACCTAGATGTTGTTGCGACCTTAAATTTTAAAAAAGTTACAAAAAAGTAAATTTCGTGAGTTTTAAAAGTACGCCCGAATTCCGGACAAAAGTATAAAAAGGAGAACTTGCCCGGATAAAACAGGACGCCTGTTCACCCTAGTTCAGGACCAATGCATATCTGTTCCCGTGCAGGCTGCAGGCTGTAGGCAGTGCTGATCATTTGGAATGAATATAAAAGTACCAAAATCCAATCTAAAGTACATTATTTTATGGTGAATTTAAAATATATCTGGTTGGTTTGTTAAAAAGTATTACATTTCTGAATATTGTTAATTAGTCTGCATGCTTTCCTAGAATATCTTTGTCATAACATTTTTATTTCTATTCTTAATCCGCAAATTTTATTTTCTATTTTGTAATGAGTGTTCATCTGGTTCGTTGAAGCTAATATCTATGTATTAATAAATATAACTAGGGCATCACCTGAATTTTCTTGTAGGTCCCTTGTTTCCCCGCCTGCCACCATACATTCTCCAAAATTCGTGTCCACACTGAACTCACCTATACCCACAAAATTTGTGTCCCTACCGTGCATAAAAAAAGTGTTTTAAAGGCCTAGAGCAGTGATATCAAGGTCGATGCCACTAGCGGGGCTCCGTGGAATGGATAGCACGAAGAAATCACCCCTCCACGCAGTTCATTCCTCGGCACAAGAGAGCAGTAGATAGACAAATTCGCCCTGAACGCTTACGATTTACATAAAATTATGAGATACTAGTAGAAATGATTTACATAAATAAATTTAACAACTTTTGTTATTTTGTATTCATATTTTTACTTCTATTTTTCAGTGGATATCGTCTTTTTTTATACGCGATTCCACAAAGTTGGAAAACGGGGGGAAGGATACTACAGATACATTTCCTTTTCCCGACGCTAGTTGCGCTGAGAAGCTCGTGGCGTGCCACTGCTAGAAGTAGACCTTGACATCATTGGCCTAGGCGTAATACGCAATTATAATTTGTTGTAGTAATGTGGTTTTTGTGATATAATCTGCAAACGTAATTTTTTCTCCATCTTAAATCTACTGAATGCAGGACTAAGGGGTAATTCCCAACCCAGTAGTAGCTCTTCTACAGAGGTTTACGTCTATAGTTTCTCATAAATTGTCAAAAACAGTCATCTGTCCTTAGCGTTTTATATTGGAGAGGATTATTGTAGTATTTAAGCGCTTTCGCTACTGATGACCTCGGTAGCCAGGGCAGTGCCGCCAGCGACTTGGGTGCCGCAGTCGCGATGCGACCTTCGGAGCTAAGTAACCGTTTATTTTTCTGTTGCCCGGAACTCCGTCGGATTGCGTAGCGTGCGATTACACGAGGAACATAATACATTAAAATACAATTAAATGAAAACGGTGACTGCTTTTATGAACTGGCAGAATGTTTATGAAGTTGTAATATCCACTACAAACTTTTGACTTGACGGGTTTATGTAGTAGTAAACTGATTTATGCATATAATTCTTGCTTACGAAGTTAAAACAAGGGTTTGTTTTTTCTGTGCCTAAGAAAGTACACAAAAGAGAATTATTTTAACGTTTACAAATATTCCATTGCTAAACATTTGATATAATTGTTCAAAACATAACTATATTAGAAATCCGTAGGGTCTCTGAACAAGGTTTAATCGATTTTTAACTATTATACGTTTTTGTCTTTATTACAAGAGCCAATTCAGGCATTTATATTGATCAAGTTTTCACAAATACGTTTCATCATTCACACCATCAGCTTTAAGACTAATTATTCCAATAGTATATGAATTGCAGTGTTCAAACATCAAAAAGAAATTTTACTCGTGAATTAGGTAAAGCCAAATGAGTTTTTTGTAATACTAGAGGGAATGCGCCAGTTCTGAATCACTAACGTAAAAGAAATTATCAAACTGCATGCGTTTGGCTGCATAGAATTGGATAAAATGTGACTTATCAAATGCAACAATACCATGTTACATCCAGAAGCAATAACTGGGCATTATATAGAAAATTATTTCAAAACTAGCTGATCGTTTGATACATTATATGTAATGATTTATTAATTATAACAACGCTCGTCTTTGTAACTCCTACTCATTTCACCTCGTTTATATTATTACAAGACTCAAAAGCACAACTCAATTAAATTTTAATGTCTTTTGAATTATTTATAAAGTATGAGTAATTTCATGATAAGATATCACATATAAAACAAACTTACCATTAGCTGATTTTCTTGGACGTTACTTTTCACTCAGGGAGCGAGAAATCTGGCACGCGCACCTAAACACTATTCATAAATCACAATTCACATATTCGAGTTTTCTTTCACTGAGAATTTAAAGTAACGGTTTATCTTTGACCAAGATCGCTGCACGCATCACGTTCACTTCCTACCCTCCGACTGGCCCGGCAGCTTCTCCGCGAGGAGTTTGCAATCTAAGAACTTACATAAAAATACCCTCATTTCCATTAGCGCCTCTGCCGGTTGAAAGGCAAAAATAGGAAAGTGAATTCTTTGATAATGTGATAAGCGGAATTGCTCCAAACTCACTCCGGGTTTGAAAATGTTTCCACATATCCAAATTTATATGTTTAAAGTAATTCTTAGGACTCTTGACATTTCCGGTGACTTTACCAATTTAATGCATTTTTCGTGCAACACATATAAGTATTAAATGAATCGTAGGTGTAAAAATAAGCGCGTATCCCTTAATAATTAGTTACTTAACTTTGGTACGATATCCAATTAATATGTAGTGATATATTAATCATTCAGATTTCAATTTTATTATAAAATTAACAATGCAGTTAAACTATGAATTTCAATTAATACAATAATTTACTTTTTCTTACTTTTTGAAGTATTCAACATTTCACAATATGTTTTATTAAAGTTCGCATTTATCATCATGAAACAATTTATCTCATGAGCTGCATTTCATTCCTCTGTGCTCGTCCACATCCACGTCATGACCGTAAACAGGAATAAGGGGCGCATACAGAAAGTATTTCAGGAGGATCGCAATTTCTGTTTGCCACTCCCACACGAATATTTTTAAGATAAAAAATATCAACATGGTATTTTAAAAACTAAATGATGGGAATATTTCGTTGAAAGATTTGCAATTAATATACTATTTGTTCTGAATAAATTTAGAGCAAAATAATAAAATATGTTAATGTTAACATCAGGGGGAGGGTAGATTACGTATATTTGGTATAACCTTTACTTTTCGGCTCACACACTTTCTCACACCAGAAAAACCGCGCATTTTGCGTGGCTGACCACGACGCACGGGGACTGCCCCCGGAGCCCAATCCAATGCGTTCGCCCCACCCGCCAGGCTGCACATCGGTCAGTCTGCCCGTCGCGGTTTGACACGCTCGCATCTCGCGTGATTTATCCGCTCGCGCGCGCTGGGCGGCGCCTGTGCGTGGGCGCGGGCGCGGGCGCCGATTATCCTCCTACGGGCGCGTCGCGTTTGGAGACGGGCGCGCTGATTTACGCGGTCTGCCCGACCCCATGAGAACGCGCGGCGCGGCGCCACGCCCACCCGGCCGGACGGCGGGCCGCCCGCGCGGGCTGGCCTGCGCCGGTGATTGACGTGGATTGTCTCAGATGTGCCTCGCGGGTCACGCCGCTCACCAAAGTTCAAGCGGCGCGGCTTGTGCGTGGGGCCCGCGCGGTCGCCCGTCTGCCACACGCCCCCTTCCAACGGCGGTAATGGCAGTTTTGCAATGCGCCACTGTAATGAATGGACGGAAGATCTGAAAGTAAACTTAGAACGTACAGTCACTTAGGGGGTCATTAGACTATGAAGGGTGGCTTCGCACCTTGCACCACCCCAGAAAATAAATGTGTGTTAAATTAAATGTTGCTGTTTGTATTTTCACTTGTTTTAACCATTAGTCGATTCTACCTAATAGGCAGTATCGACTAATGGTTCAAGCAACTGAAAATACAAATGCCAATATTTAATTTCACAAACATTTATTAAAGTGGTGCACGGTGCAAATCCACCGTCCACACCCCAAAGTCACCCCGAGTGACTGTATGTGAGAAAGGGTAAGTTACGATACAGGTGTGAGGTAAGAGACAATGGACAGTTTCTGTATACTTTTTTTCATCTCATTGAACAAATGATGTTCTTGGAAAACAAACATCGAGTTAGGTACAGTCACCTACAGAATTTCTCAGCATTACAACAAGACAATGTTTTTCAAATTGTTTTAACCGAATGGCACAAAACAAAAGCCCCTGCGTAATCGAATAACTAATCAGAAAACTGAGATTTGAGATGTGTAAATCAAAATTGTGGCCCGTTTTACTATTCACAGCGCCTAGTGAAATTGTGGCAGCGTTTAATCAGTTTTTTCCTCAATATAATGTGCGTTAGATTGCAGAATTTTCGAATAAATAACTCTACTCGCATTTTGTTTACAAAATCTTTTAAAACGTTTATTATAATGTTAAAATTGTTATTTTTTCTTGAAAATATATTTAAGTTTTTTTTACTAAGAAAATACTGGGTAACACCATATACTACACAGAGAATATGTAGTTCACTCTCTCCTCAATGGCAAAATTAACTGTCACAGTTAGAATTGCATTATTGCAGTGCTCAGTGCAGAAGACGTATTAAAAGAAATATGGCGTGACAATTGCCATGGTAGACACAGTGCGCTAGGAAAGCCTCTTCGCAGAGCCGAGAAAGGGCCTCCTATTAAAAAATGAATTTACAACCAGATCATCGGGAACAAACAGTTTATCATAGATAGAGCTGCATTGCATTCGAGTGAAGGGGTTGCAATAATTATTAAGAAAAATATTCAACATATGCAAATCTAAGTACCTACGTCCGGTGATCTTGAAATTATAGCTCTTTAAGTTAATTTTTCTATAGGTCCAGTTCATATAATTTCAACCAACAACCTCCTCCAACAAATAAATACTTAAATGAATTCTTGGGTCACTTCTTCATGTTCATGCTAATATAATTTTAATATGAGATTAAATACTAAAACTTAAGCTTGGGATGTGACATAAGCATACCAAAAAGGTCATTCCTGAACCTTGTAGTATTTTATTTATACTAATAATTGGAAGGTGCATGCTCCTCCACATCCCACTTATTATCATCATAACCTAAGAATTACTCCAGATATATTAGACATTATAATCTCACATAATAACAATATTCCTATTTTCAATAAGGTATACCAGCCTTAAATTAGGATCTTTAATATTTTTTGGTAATTTATTGGGTTGATATAAAAGGTTGATTTATTGAAAAATCCAATCCTGCATCTCAGAAGTATATTTTCAGAATAATTTAGAGTAGGTTCGGGTCGATTCGTAGACCTACATGAGGAAACGTAAGTACACAAAAAAGGTTGGGCAAAATTAATTATCAACTATTTTTAATATTGAAGAAACAGGTATTAAGGATATAATCAGAATAAAATTTATTTACGTTCATCCTTACAAATAATGATAAAGGGTTGATATATAATTCAATCAAGGTTATAACAAATATATTTGATGATGTGTCGAAGACATCGGCACGATTGCGCATAGGTGTACATGAAACTTTGGCATGTTAAACCGCTACAATTAGATTGAAACGCTTGCATCTATATTACAAGCTACATCAAAAGTGTTTCAGTAGATACAGTAAACGTGCTTCAGTATTTACAACCGTATCGATGGCGTGAAAAAAATAAACCAACATTTTCTAGTCCTCGTGGTATACAATCGCTCTCGCACAAAAAAGCATTTTTTTAAAATTATTTTTATTGTTCGAGTTATGAGTACATGGTTCAGTTAAGTTTACTTCTTCATATGTACTTGGAAAGACCTAAACGTAACCTTAATTATCTAAAACTCATTCTATTCTAACTCCAACATTGGTTTAGGATACTCATTGAGCAGCTCCGCACAACAAAGCCCGTCGGGAGATGACGGTCCGTCTCCAAAGCCTCCGTCCAGCACTCGCTATTTCCGCTGCCCGCCCCCGCAGGAGGCCGTGGCAGGAGGTCGTGCGCGGCGCCGGGGGCGGCGATTTGCGAGTGCGGGCGGAGGGGCGGCCGGGCGGCCGGGCCGGCGGCGGGCGATACGCTCTATTTGTAGCGAGCGCTCGCCATTAGAATATAAAGCGCGCTGCTGCTGCTGCTGCTGCTGCTGCCGGCGGCGGCGGCGGCGCACGTGGCCCCGCACCCATTGTACGTAGATGTGCCGCCCCCGCCGCCCCCAGCACCCGGCCGCACAGGCACGCGAGGCGACGCCACACACTGGTCCCGAAGGGGAAGGAACGGGCAAGAGCAAAAAGAAACAACCATAAAAACAACAACAACAATAATAACATTAATAATAATAATAATAATAATAATAATAATAATAATAATAATAATAATAATAATACAAGAGTTTGGACTTCTAGTTCAGCTGAATGTGGAGCGTAAAAGCACAGGTCGTCACGATAGTTATTGCAGCTCAGGGATTTATTCCGCAAAATTTGTGTAAGAACATAGATGAGCTCCCAGATCATTCAAAATGCTGAGAAGTGTAAGACTGTTTTATTGGGAACAACTCACATTTTTTGCAAAGTATTGTAGAAGTATCGACAGTTCCTAGATCTGCTCCGTTTGAAGCTGGTTTCAACCCGCAGTAGATTTTATAACCAACCAACTCATAACATCTTTCGTCGTGAATTACAAAAATAATAATAATAATATTAATAATAATAGTATTAATAATAATAATATTAATAATAATAGTAATAATAATATCTTTATTAGTGGCTAGGATCAGGTCATAGGGTCTGATCTTCTGCCTTGCCACTAGAAAATCGTTCATTAAAATGTTTTGATCATAATCTTCTACTTCTTGGAGATGCAGAGTTAAATAATTAACACTTTACTAGGTTAGATCACCTAATACTGGTGAAAGGAAATATTTAGAAAATTTGCAGTCTCAGTTCATAAAAGAGATGAAAAAATTGAATGTATTTCATTCTGTATGTTCATATGATATATTACAAGTAATGATTTTATATCACCTTGAATAATAGTTATAAAAAAAGTTAAAAAATGAAATCTGAGATAAAAATGACACTTCTGAAGTTTCACATTCCGTGCATTTTTCAACATTGTTTATCGTTTGTCACGTGTGCTCGGAAATCACAGAATGCAATAAAGATAATACATTACAACACACGCCGTAGGAAAGTATTCATCAGATCCCAGTAGGAACAGTTCACTTCAAGAAATCCACATATTCATACAAGTACATTATTTTAAACACATTGTTAGATGGCATCAAACAATTAAAATCGATACACAAGCTTGTGCCAAGTAAAATATATTCTGCTGCATAACTCTTTCGACACAATCGAGGCTGTACTGACCATTGAAAACACAAATAATGTTTATTTAA